CTAACCTATATAGTCACGCCCAGCACAGCATAGGCATACCACACACCCCTCAGTAAGTAGCAAACGCCCACCCCGCCCCCCGCAGGCAGCCCTGATGGAGACTCCCATGAATTCCTCCCAGCCTGAAAGCCGGCTCCGTTTCCATTCGAATCTCACACCGACTGTCTTCAAAGCTTGACCACACAAGAAACCTGGACAGAGAGGCCAGTCTGTAGGTGGACAGGATGCTCTCCTCCACCCTAGTTTCCCCAGAAGGCCTCTCCCGGGTTACTCTCCTTTCCTGCCCCCAGCCCATCCTGGCACGCCCGGCCGCCGCCGCCGCTTAGATGAGGCAATGTGTGGCGCCCTCGTGTGGGCAAGGGCGGCCCTGCAGCCCCACCGCCGGGATCCGGGGCTGCTCTCTTCCTGCGCCCCCACTGCCCTCCTCCGGGAGCCCCTCCCTGGCTGTCCCACGGATGTCAGGGCTCCGCACCGCCCACGTCCATTATTCCAACTGGCCTGCCTCCAAGCTACATTCCCTCCTTCTTTTACCTCTGAATGTTTTCTCACTTATATTTTAAAATTTAAAATTCTATGCATTTTAAAACCTAGAAGTGAAGTGAAGTGAAAGTCGCTCAGTCATGTCCGACTCTTTGTGACCCCATGGACTACACAGTCCATGGAATTCTCCAGGCCAGAATACTAGAGTAGATAGCCTTTCCCTTCTTCAGGGGGTCATCCCAACCCAGGGGTCAAACCCAGGTCTCTCACCTTGCAGGCGAATTCTTTACCAACTGACTCACGAGGGAAGCCCAAGAATCCTGGAGTGGGTAGCCTATCCCTCCTCCAGCGGATCTTCCCAACCCAGGAATCAAACCGGGGTCTCCAAGACAGCTGTTAAAACCTGGACAGGTTAAAAAAGCAGAGACATCACTTTGCTGACAAAGGTCTGTCAACTACAGATTGGCACTTGCCAATATGGTTGCCGACTGAACAACTAGGGCATTCGCCATCTGCCTCGGCGGAGACTAAACCCTGCACTGAAGCTGTTGACCTTCAACACTCCCTGAGGGAGTTCAGGTTGGAGTAAGGCACTCTGTGCTCCAGGGAATCTGGCGAGACAGGTCTTTAGATAGATGTTTTAGGAACAGATTTTATGATCCCAATCCTTGCATCTCCTCATATCTAGAAGAGCACTAAATCCCTTCATTGTGACATCAGGTCCTAGCAACAAATTTTTCATAAAATAAATGCTTCATGGTATTGAACTCCCCCTTCACCAAAACCTTATATATTGACTTTCCCCCACTGCTGCTTTGGAGCAGTCTCTCAGAGCTATCTGACGTGCTGCCTCCCGGGTTGCAGTCTTCATTTTGCCCCAAATAAAACTTAACTCACAACTCTCAAGTTGTACTTCTTTTTTTAGGCGACAGGTCTATATAGTCAAAGCTATGGTTTCTCCAGTAGTCATGTACGGGTGTGAGAGCCGGACCATAAAAAAGGCAGACCACTGAAGAATTGATGCCTTTGAACTGTGGTGCTGGAGAAGGCTCTTGGACAGCAAGGAGACCAAACCAGTCAATCCAAAAGGAAATCAACCCTGAATATTCATTGGAAGGATTGATGCTGAAGCTAAAGCTTCAATACTTCAGTCACCTGATGAGAACGGCTGACTCAATGGAAAAGACCCTGATGCTGGGAAAGATGGAGAGGAGGAGGAGAAGGGCATGACAGAGGATGAGATGGTTGAATGGCATCATCAACTTAATGGACATGAGTTTCAGCAAACTCTGGGAGATAGTGAAGGACAGGGAAGCCTGGCATGCTGCAGTCCATGGGCTCGCAAAGAGTTGGACATGACTGATTGAACAACAATGCATTTTAAAAGACATACATAAGAAAATATTATCTGTAAAACATAATATAGTTAACACCCATGAGGCTGCAACCCAACAAGAGAGGTGAAATATCAACAACTTGCATCTTCCTTTGAGTTGCTCTTCATCCCATTCCCTTCTTTCTCCCCAAACAAGAAGTAACCACTGTCCCAAATTTCATATTTTCTCTTGCCTTTTTCAACCCCAATTTTCCTTTTTGTGGTACAATGAAATTTACAAAATTAGCCATTTTAAAGTGTATATTTTGGGGCTTCCCTGGTGGTCTAGTGGCTAAGAATCCACCTTGCAATTCAAGGGACACCAGTTCAATCCCTGGTCCAGGAAGATTCCACATGCCTAGGAGCAACTAAGGCCATGCTCCACAACCACTGAGCCTGAGCCTATGCGCTAGAGCGGGCAAGTCGAAACTCGGAGCCTGCATGTCCTAGAGACTGTGCTCCGAAATGAGAGAAGGCACCACAACCAGAAGCCTGTGCACTGCAATGAAGACTAGTACCCGCCCCCCCCCCCCCCCCAGCAACTAGAGAAAACTCTGGCAACTAGAGAAAATTCTGGTGGAGCAGCGAAGATCCAGCACAGCCAAAAAGAAAAATAAATTAAAAATAAATTTTTTTTTTTTTAAGTTCTGTTGTTTCAGTTCTTGCATTTAGGTTCTTGATCCATTTTCAGTTGGCATCCTGTTAGGTTCTGCTAACAGGGAGCGCTGAAGAAAAATTAAAGGGTGGAGGAGTGGAGAAAAGGCTACCTTTTATCTCCATCCCTGGTTCCTTCCAGTGATTCTCCAGTGGTGGCACTTAACCCCAGCCTCCAGTCCTTTCTTCACTGCCCCCAAACCTCTCACTTCCTCTCAGAGGCAGCAGTGGGTTGTGTCCTGTCCTCGGAGTTCAGAGTTCCACTTCCTTAGAGCTCTTCCTCCAAGCTCCTGGAAGTCTATAAAACCCTCTTCTTACCCTTTGTTTCTCCACCCCGAGCGGGAGCTGCTTTCTGACTTTTATTAAGGGACTAGTTCAGCACTCCCTCTGTCTTCTTTCAGCCCTCTGGGGCATCTGCTAACAACACCCTGTATTAACTTCTCTGATTGAAAGTGTAACTTCTGCTTTCCAGACCGGATCCCAGATGATACAGTGAATATGCCATTATTTATTCACCCATTCACCTTTTGATAGATGCTGGGACTGTTTCTAATCCTACTACTGTTTCTATTTTCTACTTTTACTATTTCACTTTGAACAATGATACCAAGACATTTTGTATGTGTGTTCTGGTATACAGTCCTAACATTTCTCTATGTATATATAAGAAATAAGATGCTGGGTCCAGGTTGGGTGCATGAGACAAGTGCTCGGGCCTGGTGCACTGGGAAGACCCAGAGGGATCGGGTGGAGAGGGAGGTGGGAGGGGGGACCGGGATGGGGAATACATGTAAATCCATGGCTAATTCATCTCAGTGTATGACAAAAACCACTGCAATGATGTAAAGTAATTAGCCTCCAACTAATAAAAATAAATGAAAAAAATAAATAAAAAAATAAATTAAAAAAAAAAAAGAAATAAGATGCTGGGTGTTAGGGTATACAGATGTCCCATTTAACAGGCAACTGTCAATCTGTTTCCGGTTTACACTGCACTGTATACAATAATATCCTGCTTATTCACATATCCAAATTCCACATATGCCTCTGTGTGTGTGCAGAGGGGCCCAGAGCCTGGGAGGTGAAAGAAGCTTTCATGGATCCCAGCCAACAGATAAATTTTTGTGTCCCTGGGGAAGCAAGAGACTAGCCCCACCTGAGGACAGCTCACTGGTGCTCTGCATGGAGATATCTACCTTTGCACCCAGGTCTTGTGTTGATCAAAGGAGCATCACATATTTCCTCCTTATATGTAAGAAGGGGGAACAGGCACTGTGCAGCTGGTAACAATTTGACAAGAGCCCTTAACAAAGAATCCTGCTGCATTTAACAAATGCTCACTAAACATTAGTTTCCTTTTTTCTTGTTCCTCTCCTGCACTGAAGCCACTTCTCAAGAAAGTGAAAGAAAGTGAAAAACTTGCAAACAAATCATAATTCTGATCTCCATCATTATGGACAGGGCACCCCACCACCCCAAAAAAAACCAAGACAGGATTTTCAGTTTTACTTAGGGCTTCTGTGTGGTGGGAGGTGCTCTATTCAGAGCACCAGTGAGTCTTCCTCAGGTGGGGCTAGTCTGTTGCTTCCCCAGGGACACAAAAATTTACCTGTTGGCTGGGATCCATGAAAGCCTTTCCCCTCCCAGGCTCTGGGCCCCTCCACACACACATAGAGGCACATGTGGAATTTGGATATGTGAATATGGCTTCTGCTCAGCGGGAGCCACCTGTAATGCGGAAGACCCCAGTTCGACTGATCCCCTGGAGAAGGGATGGGCTACCCACTCCAGTATTCTTGGGCATCCCTGGCGGCTCAGATGGTAAAGAATCCACCTGCAATGCAGGAGACCTAGGTTCGATCCCTGGGTTGGGAAGATGCCCTGGAGAAGGGAACAGATACCCACTCTAGTATTCTGGCCTGGAGAATCCCATGGACTGTATAGTCCATGGGGTTGCAAAGAGTCGGTCACGACTGAGCGACTTTCACTTTTCTGCGTGGTGGGAACTGGAATGAGCTGGTTTCTCTTGGAAACTTCTGGATGATAATTAAAGAGATAGTTAGACTCTGGATGCCCCTTCCTTACTCACTCCTTCTATGGGCCTCTCAGGGGAGGGCAGAGAGGAAGGGGTAGAGGAAACAGACCACACCAATCAAGACCCTGGCTCCTACCTCTCAGGGACAGGTCAGCTGGGGTGACCCAGATCGGTTAAGAGGAACAGGGTACTAATTGTCCGGGAGCAGTGATTTCAGAAACGCTGACCTGGACCCACTGCTCCAAAACTACCTTCCTCACCTATCACCTAAGGGCTCACCACAGGGACTTGACTCACTCAGGTATTAGACGGTGGTGGAAAGGAATTCCATACTGAGCAACTGACAACTTACAGGAGTCACCTCGCCCGGCCTCCCTCCCAACGCCGCGGCGCGGTTAGATCTGACCCGGCTGATGGGGCCCTGGTGGGACGCTGACCGTGAAGGGACATGTCATCTCAGAGCGGCCCTTCCGGTGCCCGGACAGTGGGCGCTGCTTGACGGCCTCTCTCACGCCGGTCAGCTCCTGCCAGGCAGAGCCACAGCGCAAGGTTCCGTGTGGGGCCAGGCTGGGCCAGGCTGAGGGGGAGACAGGACGCGTAGGCCTCGGCCCCGCCCCTCAGCAGCCGCGAGAGCGCGCACGTGACCCGCAGCCGGGTGCCGCACGGCCCCCGAGAGCGGGGCCGACGCACAGTGAGACGGTCACCCCGCCGCCTCACACTTGCTTCTGTAAGCAGCCCAGTCAGCCGCTGGCGCCAGGCAGACATTTCCAGGGCCCTTCTGAGGTGTTCCTGGGCTGATCTGGATCTTGCGCCCTCCCTTCCAGTAGCCCAAGCTGGGGTGTGTTAAGCTGAAGCTGTGGTGCGCCCCTAGTCGGGAAAGGCTGGGAATGAGCCAAGCGGTTCTCAAACCTAGAGCTGCAACAGCCAGGAGTGGCAGAAACACAGACGCAGCCGTGAGCACCAGGAGCTCTTTCCTGCCCTGGCTGGAGGTGACAACCTAAGAGGGGAGAGAGCAAGTGTAAGTCGGGAGTGCCCCCGAAGCACCAGGACAGGGTCAGAAGGGGCTGGCGGGGTCCCCGCGCCCTCCAGTCCTACTCTGAGGGGACGGGGAAGGATCAGAGAAGGTGGCCTCTGCACTGAGCTCAGAAGGAAGCGTCAGGGTTCACCAGACAGAGGAGGTGGAGGAAGAACCCCTGGGGAGGTTGGGAAACAGGAGGGAGGGAACCATCCTTGAATCCCGGGCCCACTCCCCCCCACCCCCAGTGCAGGGTCTGGGTGGCAGGTGAGGGCTAGCCTGGCTGGCTGGGGGATTGAGCGCTGAGCAGGAAGTCCAGTCCCAGGGACCCAGCCAAGCTGGACCGCCTGTCTTGGCTTTTCAACAGGTCAAATGGCAACTCAAGCTTCTGCAGCCCAGAGACACAGATGCCCCGTCTCGACTAGCAAGTGAGGACACGGAGTTCCAGCAGAGCCACCCCAGGAGAGCAGAGGTTAGAGCTGAGAACAGGGCTTGGGACTCCTCTCCTGGTCTCAGCTGTGTGGGGTGCAGGGATCCCCAGAAGCGTCACCGGCCTCCCTGGGGCAGCAAGGGAGCTGAGAGTTGGCTGATGATGAAGCATGAGGGAGGACAGGACATGCCACACACAGTGTGGGCTTTGTCCTCTTCTGGGAGGGGGTCAGGGGGCCATGCTGGAAGCGAGAAGAGCTGGGCTCAGACCATCAGTTCTGACAAAGCCTCATGAGCTGGGGCAAATAGGAGGCTGGATTTGCTGGGAAGAAACTGCTTTGTTGAGAAAGTGAGAAGACTGCAGATTTAAGCTGGATCAGGAGAGATTTAAGCCAGAGCCCTGAAAGAACATCCAGGCTGAGGGTGGTAAGAATGGAAGGGGACAGGTGTCCGTCAACTTGGCAGTGCCATCATCCAGCTCCCAGGACTGGTGAAGCCAATTCCCTACTTAGAACTCAGCTGGAGTCAATTACACTGAGCCACAGCTGAGGGGAAAGATCAATCGGGGCAGACACAGCCTTCTTCAAGATCTTTCTGGCTTTGGGCTGAGGAGAGTGTGGCAGGGTGGGAGAGAAATGTATGGATAGTTTCCCAAGCTGAAGCCCAAGCCTATTTAAAGTCTTAATATTTTAAAAGATCTGGGGTGTGGATCAAGGCAAAGGAGGGCTAAATAATTTAGAAAGCAAGCAACAAGTAGCTGTTGCTAATGGGATTTGTGCCTTTTCGGTCCCAAAGCAACAACTGGTCTCCTGGGAGAAAGAGGGCGTGAGCACAAAGTCAGCCTTTATTGCCACTTGATTGGCTTTGTGCATTTGTGTCAGTTATCTACTGCTGTGGAACAAAGATCCCAAAGCTTAGTAGCTTAAGACAACAAGCATTTGTATCTCACACAGTGTCTGAGGGTTAGAAATGTGGGGGCTGGGTTGTTGTGGCTCAGAGTCTCTCATGAAATTTCAATCAAGTTCTTCTGGGGCTATAGTCACCTGAGGCTTGATTGGGATTAAAGTCTCTGCTTCTAAGACTGACATGGTTATTTAATGAGGCAAAGATGGCCCCTCACAGCCAGCTGAGACCACTGGCTCAAAAGCCTACTGGTGCCAAATTCAAATTTTTACACCCCCAGTTGTTTTAAATTTATCTCTAGTCATTTGGACCCTGCCTGCTTTGCATTCCTCCCCACACTGAACTCCATCTGCAAGCCATCGGTACAGTAAACTCTGGGGCTACTGAAGATCCAAGCTACCGCTGCCCCTTGTGGCTCTCTCATCTTGAGACCCCCCCCCCCATCACATTGCTGAACAACGTCATCTAGACATGAGGGGGCCTCTCCATCTCCCTCTCCTCCAGGAGTTCCTTGCCCTCCTCTTCTCGGTGATGGCCCCAAGTGACTGACCAGTGGAAGGTCTCACGTTATAAAGGACTTGAAAGTCCTTTTACCTGTGTAAACCCAAATGAAGCTCATTGTCTGCTACTGCCAACCTCCTGATTTTTTCCCTTGATCAGCCCTGGAATCTTTCAAACTGACTACACGTGGCTGTTGGCTGGAGGCCTCTGTTCCTCACGAGAGCCTCTCCTCCTGTCTGAGTATTCTCAGGACAGCGCAGCTGGCTTTCCCCCCAGAGAAACCCAAGAGAGAGTTTAGCCAAGTGGGAACCACCATGCTGTTTCATGACCTAGTCACACACATAACATGCCCTCACTTCTGCTTTCCCCTGTCAGAACTGAGTCACTTCTAACAAAATTCAGCCCACATGCAAGCAAGGGAAATGAGGCTCCACCTCTTGAAGAGAGGAGTATCAGAGAATACGCGGGTACATTTTAAAAAAATCACCAGAACTCTTTCGCAAGCACCCTTTCACACCTCACCTCCTCTTTACCAGGGCTCTGTGAGGTAAGCAGGGCAGGTAATAAGACTGAGGGAGGTTGAATGACCTGGCCATCCTCACATGCCTGGTAGGTGAGGCTGAAACCCAGGACCTGATGAGCCTCCTCTCCCCACCCCCACCTCCTACACAAGAACCCCTCATCTCTTCACAGCAGCATGTCTCACTTTTCACACCATTTTCTCTCTTCTGCCTTCTGGCTCTCATGACAAGTCTGCGAGTTACATCAGGGATTACTGAACACAGAACAGTCAAAAGAACCTGCTTCTGGTCACGGCTTTGGCACAAATAAGCTGTGTGATCCTGAGAACGTCCCATCCCCTCTCTGGACCTTCTTATGCTTCTCTGTAAGATGTTAAGAGGATACAGCTCTTATTCAGATACAAAATGCACCTGTGTCAAAACCTTAACTCATTATTTAATGAGGAAGCCCTGAGGTATTACAACCAAGTCCAAAGAATGCTAAAGGACTACAGATTTATAGTCAGATAAAGAATGTCAAAATGAATAAACAAATAGTTGCAAACTGGAAGAACTGGCAAAATTGGCCAATACCCATAGGAATAAATAGCATCCATTGTGAAATGCCCAGTGTGCATTTCTTTAGAAATGAATTAATTGCCCTACTATGAGGTGGCACTAGTGGTAAAGAACCCGCCTACCAATACAGGAGACAGAAATGAGTGTTTGGGTTCGATCGCTGAGTCGGGAAGATCCCCTGGAGGAGGGCATGGCAACCCACTCCAGTATTCTTGCCTGAAGAATCCCATGGACACAGAAGCCTGACGGGCTACAGCCTATAGGGTCACAAAGATTCAGACATGACTGAAGTGACTAGGCAGGCATGCATGCATGTGTATTTAAACTTTTACCTCTACGGGTTGTAAAATAGCCCAAGGACAAACCAGGCAGAGATTACCTGGATCGATGAGCTGTCCACGTCAGGACTCCCACGTAATTTCAAAGTCTCACTATTTTTCCTTGTTGTTTTAGTTGCTAAGTTGTGTCCAGCTCTTTTGCAAACCCATGGACTGTAACCTGCCAGGCTCCCCCATCCCTGGGATCTCCCAGGCAAGAACACTGGGGTGGGTTACCATTTGCTTCTCTAAGGGGATCTTCCCCACCCAGGGATCAAATCTGCATCTCTTACATTGGCAGGCAGATTCTTTACCACTGAGCCACCAGGGAAGCCTTCCGTCCTTACATGAATAAAAATGCAGGCAGGAATCCCTGATCAATTCCCTGATTGTAAGCCTCAATTCACAAATGAGAAAACTGAGGCTCAGCCTGTGGGTGCTGTCCCTTGCAGCTGTCCCCTCAAGCGTCTTCCTCCTGCTTTTCCTCTTCCCCCAGGACCACAGCAATGAAGCTCCCTCTGTCTTCTCTGGACACCAAGGACCCCTTTTGAGAAAACTTTGAGTTTTCTGTCTCCTGTTGCCCTGGCCCAGAAGCAGGGCCCTAACCCATACTGACTTGAAGTAGTTAATGAAAAGCACATGAGTCAAAACCAACCTGATTATCAAAGGCACTTGTGTTAATGACTGCCTTTCAATCCACACAGGGAGCAAGCACACTCAAAATTAAAAGGGAATAAAAGCCATTACCTGGAAATGCCAGGGCTCCTACCTGAGCTCAGCCCTGTGAAGTCATTATGGGTAATTACGGGCTATTAGTTGCTATCTCAGCAAGACAACCGGCCCCAAATGTTACCATTAATGCCTCTGAGGCAGGGAAGTTAAAGGTAACTTTCTGTTTTTAGCTCCCTTCCATGCCACTTCCTGTGAGTGCCCCCACCAAGCCCTTCCATTCTATCATTCATTTTTCACCCAGATTTGTTATCCTAAATTTTCTTTTGTGACTGGGAAGCCTAAGGAGCCTCAAAGAGCTTTCCTAATTCTCCACTCAACTCATTCTGAGCTGACTTCTCAGGCTGTGAACGACGTGGAGAACAGCGGGTATCTGAGTGTGAGGGCCAGAGAGGAAAAGTGACATGCCCAGGATCATACAGCGGACTTCCCTGGTGGCCCAGTGGTTGGGAGCCCACCTGCCAATACAGGGAACACAGGTTTGCTCCCTGGTCCAGGAAAATCCCCCATGTCTCAGGGCAACTGAGCCGGTGAACCACAAGTACTCAGCCTATGTGCGGCAACTACCGAAGCCCGCTCGCCTAAAGCCAATGCTCTGCAACAAGAGGAGCCACCGCAATGAAAAGCCTGCATACCCCAACTGGAGAACAGCCCCTAATCTCTGCAACTAGAGAAAGCCCATGCACAGCAAGGAAGACCCAGCACAGCCAAAAAGAAATAAACAAAATTAAAAACAAACAAAACCAAATCAAGATCATAGGGCTTGGCTGTAGTTCAGCCGCAGAACAGAGA